TTTTTAAATCTATCATTTGTTGTTTGACGAATAATAAACAGAAAAGAAAAAGCAGAGCAAAAAGGGCGGATAACTCGTAACAGTCCCAACGAGAAGGCAGCAATGGGACTTCAATCCTTCACTGTCAAGCTCTCTCTATTTTCCATCCTCAAACCCCTCTGTAAAACCCCCAAATTTCAACCAACCCTATTTCACCCGTCATGCCACAGTTTCCATCACCACCACTACAGCGGTCGGCTGCCGCTTCTCCGACGAGCGCTTTCTTCAACCGCCGCCGCCACTCTTCATCCCACTATTACCACCGCCGGCTCCGTCACCGATATCACCGATGAAACAAAGGGTATGAATTTCTTCTCTAACCAGTTGATTAATTCTGTTGATGATTTCGATGGGTTCGTGTTTGGGTCGTTGTGGTGAGCTGTGGTAATCTGTGTAGCTGTGAAGGCGCCTCAATGGAAAGCGGCCATAGATTTCAAGTGGATTAGGGATAACAAGGACGCAGTTGCCGCCAACATCAGGAACCGCAACTCCAATGCTAATCTTGGCCTTGTTCTTCAGATTTATGATAAATTAATGAATCTTCAGAAGGTCGGGTTTCCACCTTTTACATTCTGAATGAGTAGCATTTGCAGTGTTTAAAGTTCTTTCATTATACATGTAATCGATTATATGAGTAGGTGCTAATCAATGATGATTATTAGCCATTAATAACTAATAATAATGTAAAAATCTGTAAAGGTAAGTAATCAAGATCAGGAGGTGTGTGTTGATCAAAAAGTTAAAACCCCACGGGGTAAGATGAAATTCACCAAAGATCACACATTTTGGTTGGGTCAAGCCTGACACCTCAATGTGACAGTTTGTTTCTTTAGCTAATTGTTTTTCTCAGATAATAGGAAGTTGAAAAGCTACGTGCGGAGAGAAATGCCGTTGCGAACAAGATGAAGGGTAAACTTGAACCAGATGAGCGGCATACACTCATTGAAGAAGGTTATCTACCATACTTTTCTGCATAACATCATAGTCTAGTTTCAGTTTCTCGATTATTCATTCTAAGTATGTTAATTCAGGTAAGATTCTCAAGGATAAGCTTGTTACCCTTGAAGACGACTTACTCAAACTGACAGATAAACTCCAGCAGGAAGCACAATCTGTGCCAAATATGACTCATCCAGATGCTCCTGTTGGTGGGGAATTTTGTTCTGCTGTGAGAAAACAGGTAAACTCCTCGCTTGCACTGATATCTTAGCAGACATAAAAGTACTCTTGGCATCTCTTAATTTTTTAATATTGATTGATATATTTTACTTAACTTCTCTCTCTCTCTCTCTCTCTCTCTCTTTCTCTCTCTCTCTCTCTCTCTTCCCTTTTTCCCATGCTTTGTAGTTTGGTAAACCCAGAGAGTTTAGCTTTTCAATAAAGGATCATGTCCAGCTTGGGAAGGATCTGGATCTGTTCGATTTTGATGCTGCTGCAGAGGTATCTATTCTGTCCACTCCACCAGAGCTCTAGTATTTCTTGGAGTTGTAAATTATCTTCCCCCAAAAGCCAGATTGAATATAGCAAATTAAGATAACTTAGCCGGGGAATTAACTGTTTACTAACCCATTGATAATTTTATGTTTGTGTAATGAATTTTCATTACTTGTATTCATGCATCTGCGCTGCATCTTATTACAGGTTAGCGGGTCCAAATTCTATTACTTGAAAAATGAAGCAGTTATGTTAGAGCTGGCCCTTGTAAACTGGGCTGTCTCGGAGGTAATGAAAAGGGGCTTTGTACCACTTACTACGCCAGAAATCGTGCGATCTTCTGTGGTGGAAAAATGTGGTTTTCAACCACGCGGAACCAACACTCAGGTTTGTTATCTTGCTATCTTGTTAATCGTCAACAGTTATTCTGCTTCTTTCATGCCCCTTAATTTTACATCTATACTTTATACATCTTTTTCTGGAATATTTACTAAAAAAACTGATGTATCACAATAGACAGATGAACAAGTTTATTTTCCACCTCTGGGATATAATGATCCCGAGCAGCTTAATTGTGTGTGTAACATATTATTCAGGAAGGAAGGGGACCAGTTACCATAACTGTCCTAACAACTCATGAGCAACTCATTTTTTCATCTCTAGTTGTACTGTATGGTATTCGAACTATATTTGTTTAATGTGATTACAAACTAGTTTACATAACTTACATGATTACCATTTAAAAATTTAAACCAGTTTTTGTTCACATATGCTACTACATTTCGCTGCATGTGTCTGTTATTGATTCTGGGTTGTTACTCTATAAGTCCTTAATGGATAAAAAATATCTGATGATCTGACATTTCTTAGTTCACTTCTACCATTTTAGTTGATATTTCCGACTCTTCCAATCTGTAAGCTACGTGAAGCCTATCCGTGATAAGTGAAGAAGACTGGAATTAACCAAGTTATTTTTTGGTTGCTAATAGATGCAGTAAAATCTGGCAGGTGTATTCCATTGATGGCAGTGATCAATGCCTCATTGGTACAGCTGAGGTTCCAGTAGGAGGAATCCATATGGACTCCATTCTTGATGACTCATCACTGCCTCTGAAATATGTAGCTTTTTCCCATTGCTTTCGAACAGAAGTTGGTGCGGCTGGCGCTGCAACTAGGTAAATGTCTTGACTTTTTGAAAGGTCAATATAGCTTTTACTGAATGATAATGTTATGTTTGGCTTCTTTCTTTATCTTTGTCAACTTTCTTTCTATTCAGGATTGATCTTTATCTACCTTTTAACTTTCCCTTTACCTTTACTACTGTCTTTTTCTTGGATGTACTGATTGGTTGGTGGTAAACTGGGAGCTACAGGGGGCTTTATCGAGTTCACCAATTTAGCAAGGTGGAGATGTTCGTCTTATGTAGACCAGAGGAAAGTGATTCCTTCCATGAAGAACTTATTAAAATTGAAGAAGATCTCTTTTCGTCATTGGGGCTTCATTTTAAGTGTGTACCCAACTCAACCACATATCCCATTTTATCCGTTTCAGTTTCTTACTTTTTTCTTTTATTTTCTTTCCTCTATTATTTTTTAACAAGAGCAGAAGTTTGAAAAATTGAATATGATGCTTATTTTGTAGAACTATGGACATGGCGACAGAGGATTTAGGTGCGCCAGCTTATCGTAAATTTGACGTGGAGGCCTGGATGCCCGGTTTGGGAAGATATGGTGAGGTATGGTACTAGTTATCTGTCTATTCTTTGTGAGATATTACTCTTATGGGTCGTTTTTCTGTATTAATGCTCTAAAATTTTGTCTTTGTGGTGTGATCTAATCCGCATTTGTACTGCCTGACTTGTGTAAAAGCCACGTATAAGGTTTCATCCACTGTTTTCTTCAAAGAAAAGCAAAGAATCGATCTTCTCGAAATTGCAAATGCCGAAATACCTTCGTGAACTTTGTTTTCATTTTAAGTACCCTGTGAAGTTGACGTTTGATAATGAATATCCCTTGAACAGGCGAGTTCTATT